TTAGTGATGAACTTCGGTTGAGCAGCAGAGGAGCATGGTTGGCTTTCATAGAGAGCATAGAATAGTTTTATGCTGAAAAGTTAATGTTCCTGCTTACATTTATTGGCATTACCCTTATGACTAGAAGGATGGAGTTGGGCCAAGCTTGTCTCCATTGTATGAACTCAAGTGTAAGGTAAGAAAGGTCCCAGTTTTGTGCTTCTTGTCACCACTGCTGGGATTGGACTCTTCAAAGAAATGGAGCTGTACAGACTGGTCCTGTGCCGTGAGCCTTCACAGGATGCTGCGAGTCCAAGGCAGCCGTGCTGTCCTGGCCCGCTCTGTTTCTCCCCTTGTCTGTGTCTCCTCCAGGTGACAGAGGAGTTGTGTCTGGAAATGGTATCAGGTGTAATTGTGAATTGTAGTGACTTCTGTATGTACTCCAAGTATTTCCAGCTGTTGAGCTGCCTTCTTGAAAGCACAGGCAGAGACGCACACAAAGGAGAACATGGAAAAGCCGAGTGTCTGACTGACAGCATGGGTTTTGTAGCCCAAATTGTAGACCAGTTGTTTTGCGCTGCATGTAAGGGATAATAATTTACCCTCTGTACAATGACTCCTAGAGGCTTAACTAGACCCTGTTAACTGAAATACCATCTTTTGTTAACAGAGGCAGCTCCTTGTCTACTGTCTTCCCGCATTAATCGTGAAAGATCTCGGTAGAGGGAACCCGGCAACCCGGTGCACAGTCTGGTGTTTCTGCCGGGTCTTCTGTTACTTGGATTTCTCTGTGCTCAGATGATAAGAATCGCATTGTCAGTGCTTTTGTATTCAGTACCTGATCCTTCCTGGAAGTGTTTATCTGTTTAAAACAGCTTTAAATTTTCATTAAAAACAAAACAAACCCACGACCTGTCACTGGCAATATTTCTGTTGGTCACGGCAACAACTTTTAGAGGTGACTGCTGAGTTTGAGTTGTTTAGTTCTTGACTGCCCAGATTAAAACAACCTGTTCCTTAGCATGCATTTGGACCTCTGCGTATTATTCAGCCCTTATCTCAAGTTATTAATCATAAATGGAGGCATCCAAAAAATCCTGATCCATTTTGAAACTCGTGGCCTCATTTAGCTTTCCTAACAGCTTGTTTCTAACAAAATCTGATGTAGAGCCAAATGAAGTGTGTGTTTAAATGATCCCTTGCCTAAACTATCATGAAAATTTCAGATGGGATGAGAAGGAGGAATGCCACAGAGGGCAGCTTGTTGGAAGCTCGCTACTACTTAGAGACGAAAATAGTGTAATCAGCAAACACTCCGTCACTTTAATGCTTCTTCAGTGAAATCCAACTTTTTGTTTTCGGGCTTAACTATTCTCTTGCATTTTCCTTACCTGCTCACATACAAATACTAGAATTTTAATTCTGATGCACCTAGGTTTTTCTCTTTGCTGAATTCTGTTCTTAATTATAGTTTCTACCAATCTCTTGATAAATATAATACATTTATGACGAATTGACGTGGCATTGTCAAGGCTCCATAGATTGTTAAAGCTCTTTGAAGTAAACATGTGGCTCAAGGAGATCCAGTTAGATTTCCAGGTGGCTTTTGCAAGGTCTTTCATCAAACTTCTTGAAAGACACTGGACTTTCTTGTTGGGTTGTTACAGAAGAAAATGTCTACATGTAAACAAAGTGTTATTTATATGTTATTTATGTAATAGGAAATGTAGCAAACAAAGGCTGCGAATCAGTGAAGGATGGTTAGACAAATTATTGGAGTAAAATCCATCAAATGCTATTAAACACACAGATACCACTCATGGCTGAGGAAGTCTCAAAGTTGCAAATTCCTGGAGGCTCGAGGGGTGTAAAAGGGATGTTTTGCCATCAGCCACCGTCTTACACCCTTTCCTAGACACTTGCTGTTGGTGGCAAGCGGGATGGTGATCTTTGGTCTGACATAGCACAACTGTCTTATGGTCTGTAATTATTTAGGATGGTTTATCTCATTTCTGTCTTCATTTGTTTCCACTCCTGCAAACACGCTTTCTCTGACCCGATATGTTTTCTGTTTTTCTAATTGATTGCTCACAGGGCCAAGCAGTTGCCGCTGAGCTTTCTCCTGCCATGCTGTGAATGTGCGGTGTCCTCATGTGCTGGTAGTCTGTAAAAACAGGATCCATTTGCAATTTTGAGCACTTTGAGGTAAGACTTTAACATGGCTCTTTGCTAAATGCGTTGCATGGAAGCTTGTGGGAAAAATTCAGGCTAGGTTAATCGACTGCATATACATTTTGACAACTAAAGGAAAGATCTTCAAAAGTATATAAGGATTTAAGAATATTGCATGGTGGTGAAAGACACTCCTGTCGATATTCTCCCCAATTACATCTGGACGCTGAATTAGTTTTTTGCCTGGTTCACAACTCCTTTCACCCCAGATTGAGACAAAAGCATTCAATTTAGACCTTTGTCATGGGCTGTAAATTCTGTTCCAATTCGTGTCAAAGTCATGTTGTGAAATATTTTATGACAGAAATGTCAAAATGAAATGTTTCACTACTTCTGCCTCCGAACAGGAAATTCTCTAATGGTCATTTTTAGTTAAATTTTCTATTCTGTCAGCCAAGGAAGCAGAGGAGAAATTTAAGCTGTTGGTTTGGTTTGGTTTCTCTTTTTTTTCTCACATTTGAAGTCCTCTTTTGCAAGAATATTACCAAAACCAGGTCGTCAACACCTACAGAAAGCTTTAGAGGATATTTGCTTCACCAAGCAAGGATTCTTTAGGGTCTTATTTTATTTGCACATAGATCCCAATCATAAAGGGTTCCTCATATAGGTTGTCCTCAGCTTGTGCTGTAGTCATAAAAGGTCCCTCATATAGGTTGTCCTCAGCTTGTGCTGTATAAACTGCAAAAGGGAATAACAAACCTTCTTTTGTCCACACTCTCGTGTACTTCATCCAATTTAAATGACCATCTGCATTTTCCAGTCTCTTAGAGTAACAAACCTTCTTTTGTCCACGCTCTCATGTACTTCATCCAGTTTAAATGACCATCTGCATTTTCCAGTCTCTTTGCAAATCCGAGCACTGTTTCCTGAACAAGGGTTTTTGTAAAGGGAACCCACAGTCAAATAAATCAATGACTTACCAAGTACTAGTTTTTCTATAGCTAAGATTTGGGGTTTAACAGTGAAAATGCGTTTCCTCTGTTTTGTGGTGGAACCAGTGACCTGTCACAATATTGTAGGCACAGTGCTGAAATTTATTCAAAACAGAGCAAGGTATGTGAATGTGGCTTAATGAGTAACAGACACCTAACCCAATCAGTCATAATTAGCAGAGAGTGAGACACTTGTGAAAAATCACCAGCTTGTATTTTGGATGGAAAGACCCTCTTTCTTGCCAAATTGTACCCAGATTTCACTCCTGAAAATAAAAATGAGGCCTGAAGAGAGAAAAGGTTTGAGTCAGTTTAGGGCTTGCACAGAGGACCTGTGTGTCATCAATTTTCTTGTTAAGCTCAGAAGGCTGCCTGTCCTCGGGAGCGTGGTACTGGCAATGTTCAGATAGTTTAGCTGTATCTTTCATGAAATTACAGACACTGTCCCCTTGAAAGGCTGATGCTGCCCCCTTGAACAATATGTTCCAAATGTTAAATGCAATGCAGGAATGTAGGATATATTATGCTGAGCATTAAAAGCTGAAAAAAACCCCCATATTGGATGTCATTACTGGATTCCTGTTGATTTTTAATATATGTTCTCCTATTTTTAGAGTTTTAATCTGAATCTTGTAATAGCAACCATTCCATTTTGGTATGAGGTCTTTTCTGTTAACACTGATCCAAGTGAAATATTTCATTTGTGCTAGGAAAAGAGACACTAGAGATGAATGAGGTTGTGCTGTATTTGGAGGGTTTGGTGTTTCTGATACACGAGCTGACTTACAAAGTTAGAGAATTAATTGCACAAAGCAGTTCATTTATAAACAGATAATAAAATAGCATTAGCATTAAAAGTTTAGAAAACAATTTTGACCCTCTTTCGGATGCATTGTAAACAAACAGTCTGTGCACTATTAATGCTTATGAATAATGATTTGGTCTGTGCTTGGTTTAAAAACTAAACTGATAGAACAAATTGAGATTGCTGAGAGCTACAGAATTCAAATGTAGGGCTGCAATTGTTAAATACGAAAAGGCTCACTTTCTTTAGGTAGAAGTCAGCTTGTCTTTCTGCCTCTAATTAATTTAGGGATAAACTCAGGCTGATGCTGTTCTCCAGAAGTTAAGAGACTGAGCACAGAACTATGTTTTTATTAAAAAAACCCCTCCCTTAAGGATTGTATTTCCTTAAGCAGCGTTACTTTGCTTTTCCTTTGCCCATTTCTGTTGATTAGAAGCAGGCTTTCCTCAAGCCTTATTTGTTTGGTGTTGTACCAAAGGTGCAGGGAATGAAGAAAGGGAGTAAATTGCAGCCTATCAATACAGTGCTCAGCAGAGCTTGTCCTCTGTAATTTGGTATTATTCAAATGCAGGTAGTGTCATATGGTAAAGGCATCTTTGGAAGATATTTTTGTTAAAGTGCTGTCTGTCACTTTGTTGAGCCTACCTGGCAGTTCACATCTATTGGTACTTGTTACGTTAAAAGAAAGCTCAATTCTACTCTCAAATAAATTATCAGATTTTGAACATTAGGACTTTTGTCCCATGAGCCCTTGAAGACACTTTTTCTCCATGGAGAGGCAGTGTTTAGGACAAGTGTAGCAAACATCTTTTCAATAAACAGAGCTCTCTCTCATGTCCTTTTCTCGTCAGCCCTTTTAATTTCCAGAGTGAGCTTTTGCGTTGTTGCCATGGGACCTTGAAATAGCCTGCAGGTAGAGAATGGTCACTCATAGACTTAAATCCATTTCACGAGGAACATTAGCATTAAATCATGTTAATTAACATCAATATGACTTACATGGCTTTAGACCTATCTTTGAGTTTAGCGGAGCTCTAGGAATAATTTCGAAGATGAGCTATTACTCCCACTGGGATCTTGACTTCGAAGCCAGTAAAGGCAATGGGTGTCCTTGAAGCAGCTAAGAAGGCTTTGAATAGGAGGTGATTTCAGATCAGCTTCCCTGGCTGTTCCTTCATCCCTCTGCTGTTCATTCTGCTTTGTGATGACTTCTTTCTGCTGAGCAGCTGTATTTCAGTGCCATGCAGGGCAAACCCCTTAACATCCCTTTGCTGTTCTGGATCGTGAGGCAATGAGCCATGCGGTTTTTAGGTGATCATTTAAAGACTCAATCTATTTTTAGGGCAAGCTTGTTGCCAGGAGTAATTCATGGAACTTTTCATTTGAATGGTAGATTATGTGGCAATGTCAGTGCCTGAAATGGATGGTAAAAGATATTTTTTACTGGCTTAATGTTTAACAGGTGAACACCTCTGATGCAGCAGCTTTGTATTTCCTATCTGGTTTGTATTTTTGGGGCCCTCTAGGCAAACACCATGACTTTGGTTTCAAAGCCCCAGGTGAGCAATGAGTAGATATAAGTTTAATACATGAACTGTAAGATGAAGAGACCACACCTAATGGATTTTATACAATCTGTTTCCAACTTCATTGCAAATATTTTTATTTCATGTGTAGTGCTCTGCATAATGTGACCCAGTACGTTGACCTCTGTCATTCTCAGTGATTTCTCCATCTAAGAGTTGAAAAGTGGATTGATTTTCCTTCAGTCGTATAATAAGCATATGTCTCAGATCTAGCCTACTCTATCGACACATCTAAAACCCATTTAAATAAATCAAAGGGGGTATTGGGGTATTCTGCCATTTGCCTATAGGTTGATGGGAAAATAGATTGGTTTAATACCTCGGTTATTTATTTTGTCAGTACAGACAGCCGGAAAAACGATCAGTATCAGAAGTGTTCTTTGGAAGAATCATTGGGGTATCAATATCTTGGGGAGCTTGATCATCAAATTCGTCAGTTTTCGTAGGATTAAATGTATAAATTCCTTTTAGAAAGCACTGGCACATTTTCTTAGCTTATACTGTTTAGTTGATTGCTTTTTCAAGTATTTCACTTTGTAAATAACTCCACAGTATTTGGACTTGCACAAAAGCAAGGATGTGAAGGCCTGGAAGGATGTTTTATTCAAAACTGTCTTTAATGGCTTTACTTTCTTTTCTCTGTCTAGATACAACAATGGTGGCACCTTTGCTGTTAAGATGGATTCTAAAAGGGCTTATTCTGTCTTTTCTGCTCAAAGCTACTCTGTCCCTAAACCCAGATGATCCAAATGTTTGTAGTCATTGGGAAAGGTAATGTATAACCTGCTAATTTTGGATTTTTAATAACCGTTCCAGATTTTTGCATTTAAAAGGCAAAATAAGAGCCATCATTTGCTAAACACCACCCTGCCTCACAAAAGAACATGGATTTTTGCATGGCAGAAATAGCATTTTCTGAATGCTTTTGAGGATTTGGATCATCCCAAAGAACTGGTTCTAAAGCTCAAGTTACAGACCACATATCCCTGTTACCTGTCTGCTTGGCTGTGCTTTGGGAAGCTCCTCCATCGTTTCAGCTGGAGGACTGCACAGGTGTATTTTCATCTATCACAGAAAGACCTAGAGAAATTATGGTCTTATTCTGTCTCGCTTGCTTTCTGGTTGTTATAAGAAGACTATTAGAGACTTGGTCTAAGTTTGGAGCCCGTCCTGCTGCAACGTGCGGGCTTGCTCTGTATGTCTTGAACTTTGTGACTGTATCTGCCAAATTCACGTCAGCATCAAAGCGTACCTGCATGAAAGCTGAGAATGAAAGGCCCTGGTAATTCTTTTAATCTCTATTGTTACGATGTCCTCATCCTAAAAGTGGATCTGTGCAGGTCAGTTCCAATGGGGTACACAGAGACCCACTGGCTTTGATAGGGTTCACGTTCATGCAGAGGCTAAAGTTCCTGCACTCTGAAGTTTAACTTGCTACATTTCCAGTTCTGCTCTGTGCTTCAGTTCCACACAAATGTGGATTACTGTACACTTCAGCAAAAATAAAGCCCTTAACAAGAGCAAAAATGGAATCATACCTTAATGGCCCTATGTTCTGATTTTAGAGGCCTTAATTGGAGAAATACCTGTTTGCGGGTAACGCAGCTGCAAAGCAAAGACTGTGCAGGAGTAGGATTTTGCAGTCTGTGTTGAGGTGAAGTGCATTCAGAGCACAGGAATAAAATATTGATTTTGTCTGAAGAAAGTCAGCAACCTAGAGACCCAATCAAGGAGAAACAAAAATTAAATACCAAAATTGATTGGTTGTACTGACCAAGATGACTTTGTTACTTAGATGTTAATAAATCAAAGGGAAAAGATTGTTAGGGCAATTGCTGGATAACAAACAAGATCATAAAAGAATAATCAAGATTTGTGAGTGTTACAGTTTTACAGTAATAATGAGCAATGTAAATATTTTATATTTCGGCATTAGTAGAATAAAAACGTTATTGTCAAGCCCAGCAAATTGTGATAAAGGGCAAAAGCAACACCCAGCAGAATCCTGACTTGTCTAGAAGGGGCACGACAGGCAGGGCAGTAATAGGTCCAGTCTTCGATTTCAAGCCACTCAGACTCTCCAAGCAAATATTTTGGTATTCCCTTACGGGTGCAACCTCACAGGGCTTAATCACATCAGCAGTCCCATTGACGAGAAGGAAATCACTTGGATGATTACGACGATCAATATAACGAATGACATGGGGGATCTAATTCCTGCATCTTGACCCTGCCTGGAATGATTTCTGTATCATTCTCCAGAGATATTGTAGATGTGATGAATTAGAGCTTGTTTCCAGATCAGAATTCAAGATTATGAGTCTCTCAAGCAGTGCACACAGTTACTGTAGGGTAATACAACGTTCAGAAATGACTGAGACTAACAAATCAATGAGATTTGTGTTCCTATATCACATGGGAGGCCTGGACACTTTAAATATAATCATAGTCATTAATATAGTACTTGTTGGGTGAATAAATAGTGTTTGGGGAAAGAAACTGCTGAATTCTTAGTACTGTTTGAGCACTGTGGTTTCTAATGAATTTGCCCTGTTTTTGTTTATTCCTTTCATTTGTATAAAGGGAAGTAATCCCATCCTAAGCATATGTCAAAGTATTCCAAATCTAGCTACCCATTAACTCATGTTACAGTTTTAATTTAGTTCTGAGGTTATTTCTGCTACAAATTAAAAGGCTTAAATTTGTACAGCAGCAAAATAAATACTCTTCAACCTTTTACAAATGATCCTGTTTGATTGGTGCAGGCAGTATTTGAAGTAATGATGCTGCTTCATCATCAAATGAAGTGTGAGGATCCCATTGTACTGGCAAAATGCAGCAGTGCTAGGTTAATATGAGCTTTTATTAGGAAAAATTACCAGTCCTAGGCAGGAAGGCAGCTGGGACATTTTAAAAACGTGGTGCTTTCCTCTTTTAAAATTTGCAAAGTTAACCAAATGCCCTTTCTACCTTTGAAACTACCATGAATTTTGGTAACATTTGTTTCTTTTCCAGAAGGGAATGGTTTGTTACTCAGACCGAAATCTCTGTGCCTAATTCAGTTTGATAGCCAAAGTATTTCCAAAACGTTTCGGAAGAACTGTCGTTGAAGGAAGCCCTTTTCTGGTTTCTGATAATGCCCAAAGTCGCTAGGATTATTGATTTAGTTATTTTTCATACTGGATTTAGATGAGTAGCATACAGAGGGAACTGAAGCTTTTCATGTTGCAACAAATGATCTTTCACTCTCTTTCTTTCTCTACTCGCAGCTACGCTGTGACAGTACAGGAATCCTACGCTCATCCTTTTGATCAGATCTATTATACGAGATGTACTGACATACTGAACTGGTTCAAGTGCACCAGACACAGGTAAGAGCTGATCCCCACGTATTTTAATTCATTTTGCCTTTTTATCTGCTCACATACCTTTTATTTCTCCAAATTTTCGTGGTGCTCTAATACAGATGTGTCCAGAAAGATGTGTTTTAGTACAACAGCCGGGTTGTTTGGCATTCTAAGGCATTGATTGAAGTAGAGAGATTTTTGCATGAAATTTTGGTAGTCAGTCTCTTCTGGGGCCATGCAGGGGTGGGCATTGCCATTCACCCCGCTGTGTGTTTGGAAGTGCTTATTTCATGACCAAACAGGACCAAATGTCCTCTCCAAGTGATCGGTGCATGTCCAGGATTACAGCAGGAAGTCCCTATAGATCCTAAATCTTGAAGAATCAGGCACTTGAGGGTTAGTGAGAGTTACCTAAATGGATCCATATTTGAAATAGCGCACCCAAATCTGTCTTGAAAATCAGGTAAAATGAGGATGGGTCCATTTCTAGGACTGAAGGAAAGCTTTTACCAACTGGTACTGATTTTGTTCAGTTCAGGTAATTTCAGATAAACTAACATGAACAAAGCAGTTTTGAAGTGTTCACTGTTAAATATTCTCTGTTAAATATTCCTTTTCTAACGCACTACCATTGCTAATGCGATGAATAAGTCTAAAAAAGCTACAGAATACTGAAAACCTTTTAATTTCTGTGGACTGCATATTGTGGTGGGGAAAACACGCTTTAAAAGCTGAGCTGGGACTGTGCTGTCGTTTTGCAATGCATTAATGCCTTGGAAGGGTTGGCGAGTAGGAAGAAACCACTTGGGGTTAACTCCACATTTTGTGTCGTCGAGAGCAGTTTCCGTTGTGTTTATTTCTCTTGTAGCGCTGACACAGTGGCCTCCATAGAAGGCTTTGTTTATTCCATTGATGATGGCTGACCTTGCCGATATGCAGAAATGAATCATTTATTCTTGAAGAAACTCCTTGCCCTTGCTTTATGACTGGGGAAATGTTTTGAGATAGCAGTCCTAGGAAGGGCTGCGGTGATTGACTGTCACGAGTACTGTGTTTATAACACGAGTTATATTTCAAGTTTCGAAACAAGTATTGATTCTTTTTTATTGCGGCTTTTAATATCAAAAGCTTTCATGCATTTTAAAATAATTATTGAATGCTATCCTTCCTATAATTTAACACAAATATAATTCCGACGGTAGGCATTGATTTGCAATATTGTCAAATGGCTTTCTGTCTTGCAATTTAGAATAAGTTATAAAACAGCGTATCGAAGAGGACTGAGAACTATGTACCGGCGAAGATCCCAGTGCTGCCCTGGATATTACGAAAGCGGAGACTACTGCATACGTATGTACAGAGCTTTGATGCAGATGTGACAGTTAAAAGTAATTTTTGGAGGAGCTGTAAACAAATTAAAGATGTGTTGCAGTAGTAATACTAAGGGCTGATTTTCAGACCTGCTCAGAAAATGTAGGTCCCACTGATTTCAGCCAAAACGGCAGAGAACAGAACATTTCGGGTCATTTCAGGTATATGCATCTGCCTCTTAACTTTGAAAGTTCTCACTCCAGATAGGAATAGTTAAAAACTCGTTGTTTCACGTGGTTCCTGTCAATAATTTTGCTCCTTTTAAAGCCTCGCAAATGTCAGAACAACTTTGTCCTAATTGCACTGTAGAAGTCAATAAAAAGCTCTGGAGTGTGTTAAGTCGGTCTGAGGGGGACAAGAAGCAAAATGGAGCTTTCAGCAACACCTCCGAGCTTTGTTAATTAGAAATCCCTTGTACATTAATGCCACCTGTTTTCAGCATTGCAGCTTTCTAAATAGTCTGAGACAGAACGCAGTTGCTACACTTTGCTCTAAAGGAGAGCGGAGCTGGGGATTTCTTGTCTACGTCTTGTTAGAGTGGGATTATGACACAAGAAAAACACAAGGAGGATTTGATCAGCGCCAGAATCCAAATTTTATTGACAGGTTTAGCATGCCATGGAATAATTTAAATGTGAAAATGATACAGTTATCCATCTAACTTTAAATATCTTGACATGGTGCTATTTCCATCTAGTTCGGTTGGTGGTTTTGTCTGAGTACCTGTTTTGTACTTATATCATACAGGAGCACCTCAAAAACACGAATGGACCCTAATCTCATTTTAAATTACCTTTTATGCCAAACAGTTACTTTAAAGGGGCTTTGGACTGTGAAAAATTAGCAGCACTTTGAGATAAGGCATTAGAATTAGCCTTATTTTACAGAGAGAGTAATAATTTGATCTTTTGAAGTGTGAAGTGCTGTTACTCAAGTCCTGAAAAACGTTTGCTGTCACCTATTGTCTTTGCTAAAATCCCTCCTATGTTAAGTATGTACCTTTAAATTTCTCCAGTGTTAATATCATTTCAGCAGTTGTCCCACATGGTTTTGTTACCAACTTGAATTTTGTGACTCAGAATCCTGTCTGGCACGTATTTATTTTCACTTTTCTCTCTGCAGTCCATCGGTTTTTTTAGTTTTTATTTTTCAATTGCCGTACTGGTTGCAACAACAGGAGATCTCTGCAGACTTCCTGATTCTTTGAGGGTATTAACATTTATTTAAAAGTAGTTTTTTGTTAATATTAATGCTCAAGAGTTCTGCTGCTGCCAGGCAAATTAACATCCACCGTACACCGTGCAAGTATTGCTAATGCAGAACAGACAGCAGGTATCTGGTCAGAGCAGGAGTTTCATGTCTGACACAGTGCAGATGATACTTACATTCTTTCTGTTGTTTATATGTGGAAGAGTCAGATTCTTATATTTCAATATTTATATAGATTTCATAAATGCAAACTGCTTGCCTTGGGGGCATTTGCAGTCTATTCTCCTTCCTGGGACATCTGAGCAGGAAGTGCAGCTGAGAGAGAAGTGACATAAAGGAAGAAGTTTTCCATCACGATTGATTCTGAGTACTGAGTCTTGTTTTGATACCACAATAGTCACATAGCAAAAAAAACCCCAACAACCCAAAACCAAAAAAACACCAAACGAAAAACCTCATTGAAACTCTGACCCTGCAACCAGCAGTTTGAAGACACAACAATATTTAGCCAATGCGATCCTTTTCACATTGTCCCTTTTGTTTCTAATGTGTCAAACTGTGGTCCCATTAGTTTTTGTTGTTTTGTTTTATTTTCCACAATACGTTCCTGTGCCAACAAGCAAACTCTCCCATTCCTCAATCTTTGCAGTCAGCCATGAATTCCATTTTCATTCCTGGTGCCACCACCTTGCTGTTGCCTTTTCCTTTCCCTTTCCCATTTCTTTCTTTTCTTTCCAATGATACTTTATAATTTCCCAAGCAGGTAGTGTAGTACTCCTGTCCCTCCTTCCTCCAGACATGTTCAGTGCCAGCTCCTCTAATGCCACCTCATACAAGAGAGAGGTTGGGCGACATCAAAACCATTCCCTTTGCCTGTGCTGTCACAGGATGGCACGATTTGAAGCTGTCCCCTACTGACGTGAGGGGAAGGAAGCTCCAGCCCTGCAGAGAAGCTCTCCCTGCTCAGCCAGCCCTCTGACGTCTCTTCCATTAGCAATCATGGAAGCCACTACAACATGGGGAGGGGAGAACGCATCCTGCAGTGAGTCTGATGATCAAAAGAAAGTTTGATTAAAAACCAGAGTGTAGATTAAAGGCTAATTGGTTCTTCTTTCATTAATAGCAGCCTTTATTTCTTACAAAAGTTAAATAGCTTTGTAATTAACAGTGACATGTTTAGACTAGAGAAGGCTGAGTTTAAATCTCTATTAATGACTGTTTCTTGGATTTTAAAGCGGGAGTGAAGGCTTTCAGCTACTGTTTTGATCTTTTCCCTTCTCATTTATTATTTTTTAAATGAATATCAGACATATGTTTTTATCTTTGTCCTCCTGTTGGGACTTACTAAGTGGATTAGGTCTAATAAAATCTACCCTCAGTTCTAAATGATCAGGTTGACCCAGAGCCTCTTTATCTGGTGTCTTCTTTGCCCTTTTGAGGTCTTCATATGCCACCGCCCCATAAAATGTGGAATTCAGGCACGAGGTCGAATAATTTAAATTGTGGACTGGCCAGCTCATTAGTTCTTAGGCTAAACAGTTTTTGGGTATGAAATCATCTTTATGCCTATAAAGGGCTTGGAGTGTTTTTGGCTTGTAATGGTGTTCAAAATATAGCACCTGAGAAATGCTGCAAATGCACATCTGCATTTTTTTTCCATCGACGTCTCAGAAATGGTCGATACCATTCTGGTAGTTTTGCAAAATGATTCCCCTTCTCTGAATGTTCTTATACATGACATTGCTTTTCACTGAGCTGTCCCTGAAAACAAACAGCATAGTGTGGCTAGTAAATCAGAGCAACTATGATTTACTATACTTTGTATGCTAAGGTAAGCTTTCGGCAGAGCGAATGCATAAACTGCAGAAAATCTCTTTTTAAACAACCACAGGGTTCAACTGCCCTTCAAGGTATTCGTAAGGATATTTTAAAATTATATTGCCTAGATTAGTATCTGTGGTAGATAAAGCATCTCTGAATACTTTGCAGCTCAAAAAAAAAAGAGAAAAAGAAAAGGAATATGACATGCTTTTTGTGATTTTTACCCTTTGACTGGATGGTAATTGAATACTTCCCTTTAAGAATATGTCATGTGGAAAGATCTCCTGTGCAGTAAATGGACACTTTTTTGTCTGAGAGACCAATGTTTTGTTCACTCTGTCCATTTGGATCTTAGTCTTGCACGACAGATTTATATAAAAGAGACGTTTCTTCCAGGTCACAAAGGGTCAGAGACCCAAGCATCAGAGAAAAGGAAGATGGGACTACAAGCAGCATCTACTTGTGTCAGACTTTTTGGGAGGACAAAAAAACCATGAAACATAAAGCTGAGAATTCACTTTTTCTTCATAGATTGAGATATTTTAGCCTTTAACTGTTTTATTTTTTCACTCTCATACCTTACACTTTTTCTAATGTATAAATCTATGCAATGTGACAGGATGTAATAATGACAGGGTTAGTGATTTAACAATCTTATTTGCTGCCATTTATCTGTCATTCAAACCTGTCAAAATTCAGTAGAGTTATAGATTGACCATTTCATGGTTCTTTCCTTTCTTGGTCAAGATATTATTGATCTCTGATCGTTCCTCAACATTCAGCTTTCCACATCACAGTCGCCACAACCAGCATCAGGGCTCCTTGACTTTGACAAATCTTTTAATAGAGAAATTCTTGGTCTCACTGGTTGAATCTGAATTTGTCACCTTAAGTGGTAGTTCACTCAGGCCAGAGGTTAGGGCCATGGTTATATTTGCATGTAGATATTTACTCATCTTTTCAGCTAGCCTGTGTCTGACACCTCTAATGAATTTCAAAAACAAATGAGGAATGTTCTTTTAATAGCTGGCTTGGTGAAATTATGCAAATTTGAGACCTGATTCTTTTCAGAATTCTAAGTACTGTTTCATATATTCTCCATTTCCAACAGCCATCCCAACTTCATAATATGATGTATGCCTTTATACTGTAGCAATATGAACATTCATACCTCAGGACTGCACTCAGGTTTCCAAGGCTGCGTGTCTAGTGCAGGTTTTGTAATCTTTGAAAAGGCTGCCTTATTGGAGCCATATGGCTAGATTGTTAAACATCTGTACCATAGGAGTAACAATGCCAAAGCTCCCTGCCGTCTGGGTGAATTACAATACTTGCGATTCCATGCGTATGTTACAGTACCACACCGACACCACTGTAGAGTGTACTTATGATGAGGAGAAAAGTAATAGCTTATGTGATCAGTGCAAAAGTTGTGCGCTCTTAGGAAATGTTGAATCAGCGGCTTAAACTTCCTGAATATTCATAATGTTTGTTCGTATGTCAAGATTTGTTGATTATTTTCACATTATAAGGCAGTAGCTCATTAACATTTTAGAAGAAATGTTGTCCCCCGTCTTCTCACCTCAATTTTAAATTCCTCATGGTGAGCATTCCTGTAACTTGAAAATATATTGTTTGAAAACTGCTGGACTTAGGAAATATATTTTTCTTATCTTTATAGACACACATTAAAGCCGGTGCGAGTGCTTTCTCTAAGAGCCTTACTGTTACATTATTCAAGTATGGCATTCTGTACATCAATAATGCAACATAAATTAAAGGAAGTGATAGAGCAGTACATAGATACCTTGTATCAGGGGACATTCTTTTTCTCTTTCTGCTTTGGAACGTATGAGTGCGAGAAAATGGTGTGGAAGGCCATTCTGTTATTAATTATAGAGCTGAAATGACAGCAGGAGACGCTTTGAAATTTCTCCCTTTATATGCAT